CTAAGCCTACTACTGTTCCTGCTCAAAGTATGTGCACACATACTTCAGCTGACAAATACAACTTGCATGTGGCAAGGGACCAAACTTTATGCTGAGTGCCAAGCTAAGGCCAAGCCAAGCTAAATCATGAAGAAATTTGCCATTTCATCCAGTGAAGTTTCTTGGGTGTTTGGCAACAGTTACAAAAAAGACCTAACAGGCACAAGCATGGCCTGAAAGGGGAATTCAATTGGTTTTCCCTTCAAATACATTGGGCCTAAACCTTGAATCTCCATCATCGCATTTCAGGAGAAGGAAATACACTGTAAAGTGTTAATCTGAGACACAACAGCACTTTCATACTGAAACCTTGAGTATTGGCAAATAATATCAGTGTGTTATTTATTTCTTTAAAATTATTGAGCTTTAAAAAGAGCTATTTTTAATCTACTCAAACACTCTACTGCTCCACAGGAAGAAATACTCAGCTAACATCACATCACATTCAATTCGTGTGTGTGCTATTTCAAACTAGATCTCTTGCAGGATTGGATTAGATTCGTTTTTTTTCCAATCCTGCATTTTCTACTAATATTGGCCCAACAACAGTACTCTTCGATATTGATTTACCATTTCCACTTCATTCTCTCATTTCAGATCATGGTCCATTCATTATGAAACAAATTCAAACAATGTACAGGACAGCTGGTGTTTTGAAATGTAAAGAAAATATAAACCAGAAGAGGAAAAAAATGGAGATGCAAGGTTTTGATCTGACAGTGATCTCTTATAGTCGAAACAAGACACAGCTGATGCAACTCGCAGCTTTGTTACAGTAGGCGGCTAGCTTCCTTTTTTTCGTTCTTACTTTGTCACTTCATCAACCCCTTTGCCACTGCTCAAAGAGAGGTGTTGAGGTGAGACACCAATTTGTCAATGAAGTGCCAAACCAGTAGCCTTTAACAGCCAACCTTTGCTCAGGTAGCTGCAGGAAGGGGGAAGGGCAGGGTAGGGGTCAGATGGGCACACACACCAGCCTTTAAACTCTACACCATCTCCTTCTCTCTTTGGTCTGCTCGCCGATTCCACATCTGTTCTCCTCTCTTTTCTCCTCAGTCTCCTTTTCTCTCTCGCTTTCAGTCTCTCAGACCTTCACCTTGATAATAGGCATTAGGGAAGGCTAGAGGCCCCATGGGAATGTTTCTCTTTTAACGCAGTTCACTGCTTTTTTGCAGGGGCAGGCCTCTGCCATAAACACACACACCTCACCGTCCCTTACTGGCAGCTTTAATAGTGCCTTTCTACAAGACTGAAGGAGCTGAGTGTGATGTGTTTCTTTCCAGGGAACAGCACACACTCCGACAGAAGAAGAAAACAAAAATGAAAAAGAAAACAGCTATGATACGATAACTCAAATCTCATTCCCCAGGGGCATATCGTGTTGAAACAGGTGATTAATGCGCTCATCATTTCAGATGATTCAGAGATTACTGCCCAGACACAGATGGTTTTCCAAATCAGGCTACATCTTTTGCAGTAAAATACACAATAACTTGGAAGGATTAAAGCTCATCTTTGGTTTCTTCTTTCAGCAGAAAAAGAAAACATTCAGTGGTGTATTTCAGAGATGTGTGGAAACTCTTCAATAAGGTTCAGTTACCCTACGCAACTCATAACATTAGCAATGATTAAATCTGTTTTACAGTATGAACTAGAAGCTGTTTTTGTGTACATTCTTACAAAAAGCAAGCAGATTTGTTCTTATTTTACTGACTGATGTTATCATAACTAGAAAAAAATAATTCTGCTATAGAATGAAAACCTGTTTAAAGTTACAGATTCTCATAGTGAAATTGTGCACAAAGATTATTCATGAAATTCTGACAACTATGTAATTTCTGAGATCTTTTTTATATTTTCCAAGATACAACTGGATATATAGTACTGTACAAAGGTGTACCAAAAGAGACCACCATTCATTTATTTAAACCGCAGTCAATTAAATACAAATTATTCTTTTTTTCAGAAGATATTTCTGAGGGGACACATTAAGGAGGATATGCTAATCTACTTGTATAAAGAAGGGGATGTCAAAGGAAAATAAGTGGAAAACAGGAGTTTCCAACACTGAACTTAAAAGAATTATCAAAAGACAGAGGAAAAAAAATGGAAGTTCTTACAACCATGCAAGACCTGGTAGACCACCAAAACTGTCACCATCACATAAACAGTACTTAAAGCCTTTATCTTTGAGAGAGAGGAGAAAACCCAGCTCCACTCTTACTTCAGATCTGAAAAAATCCACAGGTGTTTCTGTCCATCCTTCTACTGTGAGAAGACAACTCTACACTACGAGTTTGAAAAGATGTGTAGCTATAAATAAGCCATTGCTGAGAAAAGAAAATGGATAAAAGAGAAGAAACTCTGCAAATCAAGCTGCTGCTGCTGTCCAGACCTCGATATTACTGAATGTTTTTGGGATTACTTGAATTGTGAGAAGCAGAATACAAAACCAACTAATAAGACTCAACATTGAAGGCATGGAAAAATACTGCAGCTTTTTTTTTTTTTTAAAAAAAACAAAAGCAAGTCTCCTGAAAAGAATGAAACCTGTACTATAAGCAAAGGATGGACACACTCACTAAATACTGAAAATACTATACTTAGTTGTTAATCAAAGGCCATTTTGACTAGAAATTAAATAAATGAAGGGTGGTCTCTGACTTCTGCACCATTCTGTATGACACATGGTAGAGCTATCAACTGTACTGCTTTACCCATTACCCAAAACCTACAAACACACCAACAGGAAAAAGGTCAGAGAGCAGCTTTAGCATGACACTTCATAAAAATGCACATAATACATACATTTAACGTTTCTTGCTTAAAAAGGGAGAACGTTTTTCCATTGCTTGTGAGTTAACTTGTAAATGCACTGATGCATAAAGATAACTGATATATTGATATGCCCCATAAGCAAGCCAGTCCGTTGTAGATTTAAAAAGAAAGAAAAAGAAAAAAAGCAAGCCGGAGTCACCCCTTCTCCCATGGGCATTCTCGACCAGTAAAACAGTTGGGGGAACTACTGACCCCCACTCAAGACCACAAGCTCAACTGCAAAGGGGCAGCGGGGCAGCAGGGCAGCCTTCACTCAAATCTTCGGCAGTTGACACAGCAATACCATCTTTCATGCTAATGAAGTCTCCTTATGGCACTTTAATTGCATTTATGCCTTTCTTTTTTCTTTCCCTCGGCCAAAAAAAAAAATCATGACCAGACCCCGTCTCCCCTCCTTCCAGTTAGAGGAGGTCTGCTCCGGTCGACGAAATCAGACGGACAGGTGGCCATTCAGCCAGTTGTTGGCTTCTCTAATGACGAAACAGAGGCAGCTCAGGTCTGCTGGAAAACCCCCAAATGAACACAGCCTGCCAGCCCCCTCTACCCTTCTTTACACACAAATCCACTGTCTGTCACCTACTGAGCAGCCTACAGGATTACGGTAGCACAGAATAAAATGAGACTTTTACGCAAAATACATATTCTTTCTCCTACAAATACACATATATCCTAGAGCTTTAAGGGAAGGAGACTGCACAGAAGAAAAATATTTCAAAATTCATAGCCATATATTCACTATAATTACTACAGCTGTGTTCATGGTTATCTATAAAAATCAGTTCCATTAACAACCTTTGTAAGCTAATGGTCAGTGACAGGAGACCGAATAAAAACATGTAAAAAGGAACTGGAAATTGCTCCTTGAAGGGCTGGCTGTGTCTGTAGTGTCCATTAGACAGCTGTCTGTCCTCTGTTGGCTCTCCTGTAATCCGGTACCCGCCGACCACAGGGCGCTTGCAAAACACAACACATTTTGTTCAGCTTTGTCTAGGAGAAGTGGTAACATTGCGCTATCGCTAACGAGGCGAAGAAAAAGCCACACTCCCGCCTCTGAAACAGCGTTCAAAGCAAATCTCAGACTCAGGGCGTTTTTCAGTTCCACAGAGTCCGAGCTTTAGTTGGGGGAGTAGCAGAGCTTTAATGTCCTCACATGCACTCGCCATTAAATAATCATCGGTCTGCAGTGGCGAGGGCGACGGGGGAAGCCAGCAGGGCTAACTTGGTAAACAACACTCAACCCAGGAGCGCACGCACATGTAGACACGCGACAAAGAGGGTTTCTTCTCACGTCTGTATGAGAGTCCTCAGACATTTAACGGTCTAAGGAACCCACTGGAGCCAGACATAGACCGAAAAACAGACAGACAGCCGTCCGAAGCGGAGCAACAACTCCAGTAATACCCAGAGGAGGCTAGGCTCTCCCAAACAAAAGCCACTGTACAGCTACAAATTTCATTTCAGTAATGTTAGGTTAGCAACGGTCCCAGCATGTGTAACCTGGGTTTATCAAAAAAAAAAAAATTACACCACACCGCTGTGCTGGCGACATGTTTTCAGCGATTAGTTTTTAAGATTTTGTTATTGTTGTACTGGTCAGGGAGAAAAACAGCCTGATGCTGAAGTTAGCTTCTTTTTCGAATTTTCCGTTCCACCTTAAGTCGCTCAGCAGCCACATTCTGGCGCCCGTACAGCGCCACAATGTAAGTGCTGCACGATTTAAGGTGGAACCAAAAAAAAAATCGAAAAAAGAAGCTGGGGAATAGGAAGGCAACTTCAGCCTCGTCCAAACCGTTGTGTTTTGAAGCTAGCTAAGTGTTAGCTGGATAGCCCTCAGCTCCCACACAGGCGTAGCCTACAGCGATGGGTTCAGTGCAAAAACCACACAACAACAGAGCGCAGGGTGGCAACAGTCACTAGAGAGGAGCAGCTCCTCAAATGGGAAAAACACACACAAACACACGCACTGAAACATCCACACAGCGCCGTCAAACAAGCCAAGCAACAGTACAGTAAAACGACCACGGTGGAAAGCTGGACTGCGAGACATGAGCGGAGCTGAAAGCAGCCCACTTCTAAAGTGAGTGAGCGCGGCGAACAGCGGCTGTGCTGAATCTCAGACTTACCCTGTCACAACAGGCGCCATCTTCCACAAACTCTCACCAAAACTCCAACACTCGCGAGATCCTCTCTCCCAGACCAGCTCACCGCCGAGACAACAGAAGCAGACTGGAGATGAAGGGGCGAGGGAGAAGGAGAGAAAGGGGGCGGGTGGGTGACGAGGACGGAGGAAAGAGAGGGGTGGATGGAGGGGAGGGGGGGGGCGTGGTGGGGGGAGGTGGTGGTGGTAGTGGTAGTGGCGGTAGTGGTGGAGGCGGAGGAGGTGGAGGAGGAGGCGGGGGAAGCAGGGAGAGTGATAGAAAAGGGCAGACGCCACAACAACAGGCGTGGGAAACTTCTCACGTCTCGCGAGAGTCGGAAAACTCTCACCATAGAACAGAGTGGAGTTGGGCGCCAAACATCGCGAGAGCGGCATCGAGTGCACCGCATGCTTCTGTTACACGGCGCTGAGGCAGTAAAGCTGTTCCCACACAGAGTTCGTGTTTCTGGCACGAAACCTCGCCAAATAGCTAGAGGAACACCGAAATAGCCCAGAGTTTCATTGGATACATTATTGTGTAAGGATATTTTTGTGCTAGATTGAAGTAGACAAGACTGAAGTAGACTTCAAGACTGAAGTAGTGTGCAAGACTGAAGCAGTTTTCAGCAGCTCCTAACCTCAGATACAACACAATTTCAGCATTTACCTGCTATTGAAAGATATAAGATTCTGAAACGTCTCAAAACCATCCCAAACTGATAACTGATCCAGTCCACAGTTTTTGGGATCCTGAACTATTACCATAGCTCTATTTCATAAAGGTATTGTTAATCTTAATGAAATAAGAGCTATACTGATATTTCAGGAATATCTACTGTTTTATAGTACATTCAGACAATTACTGTACGTTACTTCAGGATATAGACAAGTACTGTAGATTTTAAGATTATATGGCAGTACCACAGAAATATACTGAGGAGAAAATTACTGTATTGTCTATTGTACATCAGCATAGATATCTCACTGTTTCGTATAGTATTACGATAGATCTTTTGTGTACGGGTAAAGCCAAATAAAAAATCCCTTTATCACATTTCATAATCTTTCTCCAAGTCTATAGTGTTCGTTTGGTATTCATCACTCAGCTGTGTGATACAGTTTGGAAGATGAACTGGCAACCTGACTCTGTAGATTTTCTACAGTCCTGCTCCTGACACTCACAGCACTCCGGTGCAGATGTGACGGAACCAGGCGCATCAGGCATAAATCCTCATGTCTCCAATCTGGAGCTGCATTATTCATTTTTTATTACTGCTCTATAAGTCTGCCAGAGCGAGGGAGGGAGCAAGGGAGGGAGGGACGGAGGTGAGAGAGAAATGGGGTGGGATGACAGAGTGAAAGTGAGTGCTACAGGGAATGGCAGAGTGTGATGGAGGGCGAAGAGGCCTGGAGCTGGACAGAGGGTCGGTGACCTCAAAGTCTGGAAGATGAAGAATAGAATAACCTCAGCCCCTCGAAACCATTTTTTCCGCTCCTTTTTTAACGATCTGAGGAAGACCTCCAGTTACTTGCAGTTTTATAGGAAGCATAAAATTTCCCAAATCTTTTACAGATGAAACTAGTAAAAGAGTACGCAAGTACGTATGCTATAGCCCCCCGCCCCAAAAAAGAAGCTCGACCACAGCATACGCAAAGTATGTACCATTTTGAAATGGGTCTGAGTTCCGAAGTTTGACTGTTGTATTTAATCTTTGACCTCAGATTGTTGTAAAACTAATAACAATTTTTATGGAAACTCGCAGACATGATTTAAAGTTTCCTCCCCAGTTCCTCCTTAACTCCCCTCATCTTCCTGCACGCACCATGGGGTATTCAACATGCCTGCAAGTATATTGGAAAGTGTTGGAGATTTAGCCAAACAGCCACCTCAGTAACAACCATCAAGGTTAATGCCATAAGCTGTAGACTTTTTATGTGTTTTGCTCAAATGTGAAGTATTTCAGAATGCGTGCTCCTGCTGTTTCCTTTGGTGCTATGTATTATCCCTCTTTCATTCCCTGTGACTGACTTTTACCTGGCTTTTTCTCTCTCTCGCTCTTTTTTTGCTCTCTTGTCCCTCTCTCAGGTATAAAACGATTATTTTTAATGGAGGAGACCCATCCCAGGAGCTCAATAAAGGTAGCGTGCGGCGCCAATTCAAGCAATCATGACTAAACCACGAGTGTGCCGCCTGTAAATCCACTGCCGTTGACTGCCTGTGTATTTGGCCAAGAGAAAGATTGGGCTCAGTTTACCAGATCTGATGCTGTGTGCCAACCAGATGTGATTTTGTCACTCCGACCCACCAATGCGGGCGGTAAGCTAGTAGCTTGCAGCTTATGATACGCTGGCTGCCTGTCATGGCTTTTTAATAAGGCTGTTCACTTCCTTTATTACATATTTATCGTAATGGAAACAGGCCTCTGGATAGTCGATGAAAATGGAGAAACGTGGAGAAGTGAAAAAGAAAAAAGAAGGAAAACAGAGCTGTCCCAAAGAGAGTAACACAGAAAGTCGCACTGAAGCAGTATTCCCTTAATGAGGAAGGAACTTCTCATTAGCACACTGAGGAGGTTTAAAGTTATAGTATTGTGTTGGGAGATTAAATAAATCTTCCATAAGTATGGATTTTTTATCTGCACTGAGTGTCTGACCCTCTCTGAGGGTGTTGAAATAATAAATACAGCAAGAAAAACCCACCTCGGAGCAGTTGAACATTTCCTGTGCAGTGCTGAAGGGGTTTTAAATGAATTTTCGAGATGAAACACAACCAAAGCAAAGCCTTGATAGATCAACTGACTCTTTGCAAAATTCTAACAAGTCTTGCCTCCCTTGGTTACTGTTGCTATGTCTGTCAAACGTCCTGCTCAGGCCTTCTTGTAGTATCTGTAGCACTTTTACTAACAAACTTATCACAAAAGAAAACTTTTACAAATTTTTTGTCCAGATGTAAAGTGCTACACAAGTGTTGGGCACCTAGGAAAAAATATTTATCTGGATAATAAATGTTTATTAAACACTAACATTAGGATCGATACAAATAATATTAATGCAAAAAATTATTTTTATGTATATGTTTGTTTCACCATTTCCAAACCCTCACATCTGTTCTAATGATATGTGGTGTATTTCCAAGAAAAACACATTTATTGTTAAGATCAGTGGTTTGAAACAAGGTGCTAAGACTTCTGCACAGTACTGCACATGTTTGAGAATTAAAAAAAAGTCAATGTAGGTCAATATAAAGCAAAAAAAAAGTCTGGAAACCATGTTTACATTAATCACACCTGGGAAATATGTTAGCAACTTAGCATTAAACAGCAGGTTTTCATGTTTGATAATGAGAAGGTTTGAGTAAGAGAAGCTACCCCTTAGGATGAGCTTATGCTAAAGCTAACACTGGAGCTAGTCGGTGCAACTGGAGATACTGAGAAGGACTCGTCTTCTTGTACATAAGATCTTTTAGCAAACTTTTAAGAAACAATACAAATGATGACCCAAGTGGATTTGCTACAATATTGAGCTGGTGTTGGAGCTAATCGAAACTATAATAAGACTAATAAGAATAATAAGAATTTGCCTCCATGCTAATGTTAGCTTGATTGTTTGATTAAAAAAAAAACTACAGCTCATCTGTTTTAACACTGTGGCGCTTCAAACATATGAGAAATAAATTAATGGCACACTATAAACTTAAGTATTATCACAAAAACTGAGTTTCTTTAGAGTGAATGAGACTATTTTGTAGTATTCTGTAAAGCTTGTCCAATCTCACAACAATCACTACAAAAGACCTCAAAACAACCAATAAATGTGAACAGACATATTTTATGCCTAGAGCAAGAGGACCCAAAGATCAGACAATGTTTTTCTTTATGAGAATTAGTGCCTCCAGGCATCACAAGATGCCACTGACATTTTGGAGGGATTGGGTCAGGAGAGCTAGAGGCGGCTTTCCGTGAGTCTGAGTATGTGTGTGTGCTTTAGGGGGAAGCCCAGAGGAACAGGGGCCAGACATTTTGACTAATGTAGAGGATGTGTGGTCCTAAGGGAGCACAATCAGTTTTGAAAAAGGCTAAACTTCACTACACTCTTAAAAATAAAGGTTCCAGAAAAGGTTATATGCATAATGCCATAAAAGGACCACTTTTGGTTCCCTAACCTTTCAGTGGATGGATTGTTCTTTAGAGAACCATTTTTGCAAATAAGATGTGTGAAGGACCTTTTTGTAGTTTAAGGACAGTAATAAGCAAATATAAACCTCCACATAATGTAAACATTCTAGGAACAACCCTTAAATTGGTATAGAACCTTAATATTGTATGTAAAAGGTTCTTTAAGCTTTTCAAAGATTCTTCACACTAACAAATCTTTTTTTTCAAACATGGTTCTTTAGGGAAGTGAAAGTGATTTGTCTATGGTCTTGCTGAAAGATCCCTTTGTGGCACCTTTTTTTAAGAGAGTAAGTCCCCACAACTAAAATTTCGGTTTTTGCTTTTAGAATTAATTAAGTGAAAATCCATCATTACACTTGTAGCCAATACACACATGATCAGGAATACCCCAATTATTAGTGTTGTTATGTTTTGACCCTCTGTTTGTCTTGTCTTGTTAATGTCTTGTTTATAGCTTAAAGGGGAGTTCCATCAAACTTGTGCCATTCTTGAGAAACTTCCCAAGTCAGAATTGTTCACAGTTGTGGTGTTTAAAACTCTAAAAGGTACCTTACTTAAAGTTTTTTGCATAAAAATAATGCCTGGTTTGGAAAGTAAATAAAATGGCTATATGTGCATTGTAGACGTGAAAACCTCTGGTTACTATCACCATCATTGTGAAAAAACCCAAGTTGATAAGTTTCTCTGCAGTAAATCATTGTTTACTTGACTGAAAGGTGTTCAAGTATTCTACATGAATAACATATGTTACACCAATATAGTTATGCCAAAAGCCAGTAAGCTGAAAGACAAAATTATGGTTGGTAAAATATATTTAACACATTTGAATCATGTTTTCTGTGCTTTATATACACATATATATGTAGTGTTTCTGAATTGATTTGATCTGCCACCATCTGTAAGTCCTCTAAAGCAGTATATAAAAGAAGG